GTGTGTATATATATATATATATATATATATATATATATATAAAATAGTAGATCAAACTAATGCCATTTGTGTGTTTGCTTTACATTTTTTGGTCCATTACAAATGTAAATTCATTACAGTGAGCAAGTGTAAAAATAAAATTTTATATAAATGTTTTTTAAGCTAATATAAATAGCATAATGATTTGAAGGTAGGCTGTTTTCTAGAAAAACTTTGCATTATATCTATGAAAGGCTAGATGATTTCGAATCACAACTTGTAACCTGACAGTTTACACTTCATTTATCGGAATCGTCTTAATCATGTGTGTCAGTATGACTCAACTGCTTGTGATAGTAACTTGGCAAACCTGTTTTGGGAAATTAAGTCAACTAAACCCGTTTTAATATTCCAAATTACCTCAAAGTAAAGCGTAAAAAGACACATAGGCTGCTTGTTGGCAGTGTTCACAATGGGGTCAAATGTTGCCTACAAGTGTCCACAACAATCGCCATGTGGAAATAGCTTCCTTTTTTTAAATAGTCAAGGCTACAGATATTCCCGATATTCCCACTCCATTCACAAGAAATTATCCATCAGAAGCATAACTAATAAATAGACATAGTCATCGTGCCTTGCATCAGGGTGTTCTAGAGGTCTGACTTTAGCGCTGACATCACTTTAACAGAATCAGCTTAGTTGCAAATGTGTTTATATGGTCGTCAGTCCCAAGAGAGAGCAGATAACTTGGTAAATAAGCAAGGCTCCTCTCACTTTTGTGAGTGATGTAGAGAGCTCTGCTAATAAAGGCGAGAGGGCAGCACAGAGCTAAAGATTTAGAGGAACTGAGCCAGTTTGTAGTTCCACTTAAAAGCTTTATTCTCTGGAAGAACCGCAGATGCAGTTGAAGCAAAGGGAATGGGAGGGGTACAGATAGTTCTGTAATATAATATTTTACTTTATAACTTAATTTGATATTTATTTAATTTTCATTTTACACTTAATATTAATATTAAGAGTACATTGTATCTGTATCTATGCCTGGTTATTACCTCTAGTCCATTTTATAAACAAGTAAGAGCAGCTACAATTAGAAAAATCTAATTTAAATAAAATTTCATTTATTGCCTACGTTAACTCTATAGGATAATGTCAACTGTGCCAGACAGACATTTGTACCTATCTTTAGTGAATTTTAAACCTAATTTACATAAAAAGAGATGCTGAATGAAATGTTTGCTGACCAGCACTATTTACTTAAACAGCGCAATAGTGTAATTGAATTTATTAGATTTTTTTAAATAATTTATAATGTAATGTATACTGTCTTTTTCATTTGTATTATTTAGCAACTCATTAGTGAATTCGGCCCTTAAGAAGAATGTCATTGGACAGCAAGACAACAGGAAACCTCAGTGTTGATGGCAACAGGAATGTTTACAGGAATGTGGCTCAGATTAGAAACACTCATCCGTCAAGGCCACCTCTACTTGAAAGGTTATCTTCCAAAGTTTGTTAACATCCCCTCAAAACAATCTCCTGTCTTCCTCAGCGTCTCTCCTACATAGCGCTCTCTCTGTCTCTCACGCTCCACGTCTGCACTGCAGACTGGAAAATGAAGCCGCAGTGACAGGAGAAGTGAATCCACTGATGCTTCCCACACAAGTACACGCTAGTGCTTGCGTTAGGAGACAAGGCCACAAAGTACGTCACAGCACAGAACAAAAGGCACACACAAACTAAACCAGACAAAGAGACCAAATAAAATCCCCCTAATAGTCTATTGAACCCTCCACATAAATTAAGTCTTTCAGGAAAACGAATGATAACTTCACACTGAATCTCTACTCTTAGACGTGTTTTTAAGGAAGTTCTCAGAATAGAGCAGAGGCACAACAACAATAAAAAAATCCTTGGCCTGAAGTAGCAACAATGAGTCTTCCCAGACACATCTCGATAAAACAGTGTCTTAACCCTGTTATGACTCAAAAATGAGTTAAAAGAGCACTGACTATTCAGCTATTTAAATATAGATCTCAGCAAAAAAAGGGTGACCTGAAATGTCAAAGGTCATTAACTGCATTCAAGCTTGTTCTTATTGCTATTTTAAGTCACAGAATAGGATTTATGGCAGCATAATCTCATAGCTACAGCCCTTATTGTGCTGGGCTTGTTTAAACACAACATGAACACAAAAAAACCTGCCAGTACACATAGGCAGCTGCATCAGGTTAGGAGCTCTGAACAAGAGCCTTTTTCTCTACATTCTTGCCTGACACCCACATACTCAATGCCTGAATGGACAAGCAGGAGGGGTTACGGTGGATCGTAGAAGAGCTATATTGGAGACACTGGCTCGTTTGGCTGAAATTCATTTTGGGAACATCTGGAAAGTGATCTATTCCTCAAAACACATAGCAGAGCAGGACTTTGTTTACAACTTGTGAGAGGAGGAGGATGCTCAGGGCGATGGATGGTGCAAATTTCCTGAAGAACCAAATCCAGCTGAGCTGAAAATCATCCATCATACTATCCATGGTCCTGAACTAATTTTGTGATCACTAAACTGCTATAGCATGTGTATCTACTGGGCTTTTACAGTTAGTATGTCGTCGTATAAAGTATGTAATTGCTTGCTACTGACTGTGAAAGACGTGTGGCCAGTTATACAAGCCATACTAATGGTTCTCTGCCCACACGTGAATATGCCTGTGTATATCTCAGCTCAATGTGCCTTGTGTGTGCCGCTCACGCCGAGTAAAATGCCTTCAGGCTGAGATGAACGGGCATGAGAGTTTTGTCTCATGCACACGCACACACAAGTTTAACCCTCAGCATTCATACTTATGGTGTATTTGTTTGCTTCCACACATAATTTATAGTTTGCAGTGGTACAGTGGTGTCAATAGGTAGTAATCATGTGTAATTTTGGCGTTCTAATTATAAATATTTCCCTTCCACATTTGTTGTTGCATCATATCTAATATTATTAAAATGTTCTGCATTTCAAAATGTAGCATTTTATTTGTAGTTTTCCAGTGCTAGAAAATATTTGTTGTGCTGTGAGCAGTGGGCTGCAGGGTCCTTGTAAATCATTTGCAATGGAGACAGAGCGCTGCCTCATTTTACAGGAAGGTTCTGATTAGAAACAGTCCGTCAAGGCAACCTCAGCCTGAGAGACTCTCCTCCAATGTTTGTTAACCACAAAACAGTCATGGGCTTTTCTCAATGTCACTTTTCCATCCTACAGCCCCTTAAAAATGAGCAATATTGTGATGCACAGCTGGCCATTCTTTATAGTTCACCATAATGCAACAATATGCATATCGATTCATGAATATGTTGGCAATAGCATTGTACGCAGCTCATAGAATATGAGCTCTGCCCTTAGTAATTGCATTATCCTCAACAACAACAAAAAAATGTCTGTTTACCAGTAGTCAGTGCAAATATTACTTCCTCTCATCCTCTGCATTGAGAGTAAGTTAATTAACATTGACAAGATCATTAAGTGCCTTAATACTGCAGAGAAGTGTCAATTTAATGTGCTTAGTGCTCATTGGCCCAGTCCCAAATAGCACATTTGAAGTGTACTTGTGGTCTTGCAATGGCAGCTGCATGCTTGTGAAGTCCATGAGGACAAAAAAATGTCCCATTTCGAGACCAAAAAGCTCCCTCTTTAGCAGCTTCAATGCACACTTTTGCAGACTTCACAACAGACTCATTTTCAACAATATAGGCAGCATTACAACACAAAGTGTGGACACGGAAGAAGGCTGCAAGAGCTTATGGTGGCATTTGGGACAGGGCCAAAGGTATCAATGCAAGAATTATGTAAGGCGCTCATTTGGCAACACAAATCAGTGCTCACTGGAACTTTATTCAGCTAGTCGTATTTCATTTAATTGCCTAAACCACTTTGCGGTCACCCCCCATTTTCAGCATGGAGACACAAATGACATACCCAAAATAAAAAGGTTGCTGCTCATCAGTCTTTCTGACTAGATACATAATCAACATATGTTCACAAAGCTGACATTGTCATGAAGCTGACACTTCAAAGTTTACTGTTCTAGAATCAGAATTACTCAGACTGTTATGATAATAGAGATATATAAGCTCAAACATAAAGACAAAAATCTAAATGGATATATTTGCATGACTTTCTAACATTTACATGTGAAAAATATACCTGTGACGTGTCAGTTATGCACTGAGGAAAACACAACGTCTCAAATGCACCATCCTACAGCCCCTTAAAAATGAGCAATATTGTGATGCACAGCTGGCCATTCTTTATAGTTCACCATAATGCAACAATATGCATATCGATTCATGAATATGTTGGCAATAGCATTGTACGCAGCTCATAGAATATGAGCTCTGCCCTTAGTAATTGCATTATCCTCAACAACAACAAAAAAATGTCTGTTTACCAGTAGTCAGTGCAAATATTACTTCCTCTCATCCTCTGCATTGAGAGTAAGTTAATTAACATTGACAAGATCATTAAGTGCCTTAATACTGCAGAGAAGTGTCAATTTAATGTGCTTAGTGCTCATTGGCCCAGTCCCAAATAGCACATTTGAAGTGTACTTGTGGTCTTGCAATGGCAGCTGCATGCTTGTGAAGTCCATGAGGACAAAAAAATGTCCCATTTCGAGACCAAAAAGCTCCCTCTTTAGCAGCTTCAATGCACACTTTTGCAGACTTCACAACAGACTCATTTTCAACAATATAGGCAGCATTACAACACAAAGTGTGGACACGGAAGAAGGCTGCAAGAGCTTATGGTGGCATTTGGGACAGGGCCAAAGGTATCAATGCAAGAATTATGTAAGGCGCTCATTTGGCAACACAAATCAGTGCTCACTGGAACTTTATTCAGCTAGTCGTATTTCATTTAATTGCCTAAACCACTTTGCGGTCACCCCCCATTTTCAGCATGGAGACACAAATGACATACCCAAAATAAAAAGGTTGCTGCTCATCAGTCTTTCTGACTAGATACATAATCAACATATGTTCACAAAGCTGACATTGTCATGAAGCTGACACTTCAAAGTTTACTGTTCTAGAATCAGAATTACTCAGACTGTTATGATAATAGAGATATATAAGCTCAAACATAAAGACAAAAATCTAAATGGATATATTTGCATGACTTTCTAACATTTACATGTGAAAAATATACCTGTGACGTGTCAGTTATGCACTGAGGAAAACACAACGTCTCAAATGCATTAAACAGCACAAATATTCGCTGTTCCATTCAGTAGCCCCTCACTGCAGAACACAAGATCCAGGGGGCGTGGTTGGATCCACATCTAGTGGGTGGAGAATGGTAGGTTTAGGGGTGGAGATGGGTGGGTTTAGGGATCAGGGGGTGGAGACGGGTAGGTTTATATTAGGGCTGCACGATAAATCGCATGCGATATTTAACGCGCAGCCCTAGTTTATATGTAAGGTGGGAGGGGTTGGATCTGGATCCAACCACGCCCCCTGGATCTTGTGGTCTGCAGTGAGGACCATCTCAGTCGATTTGATCCATGATGGACCTCAAGGGCTGCTTAAGAATAAGCGTGCACATCAAATGATCTTGACCCACTGAACCTGGATCAAATTAGTGAGATTGCATGAACTTAAATTGACGTTTATGAAACCGCTTTAGTCCCGATTGATTTCTTAGGTTATTTCAAGTCAGGTTTTGGACTTTAATCCCCGCTTTTCTTAGCGTCTTTTATGGAACAGCCCCCAGATGTTTCTCTGTGTTTGTTATGGTCAGATATGAACGCGGAAGAGCAGGGGAGCTCGTGACAGGATGAGACGGGGCTTGTTATTAGTTGCAATATGATTGACAAGGCGTCAACAAATTATTTTTTAATAATTTTTAAAATATGTATACCAACACCAAGTGTCTCAGGCCAAAATATGCATAAACATTTTACAAACCCACTGCAAATGTTTTATTGAAAGTTTAATACATTAAATACAATTAAACAATAAAATACCATTAAATAAGAAGTGCCTGTATAATGTGTTTTTAATTAGCCTATTATTATCGATTAATTGACTGTGGTTTCAGTTTGATACGCGCTCCGACCCACTTTAAAAAAAATTTAATAAAATGATTTGCAAAGCTTTCGAAGCTTCATGGCCATCACTACCACGCAACGCCATGTAGACACGCAACTAATTTCTCAGCGTAGATGGCGTGACTGCAGTGCGACAGACGAATCAGGGTTTCTCTTCACAGCGCGAGCACAGAAGAGTAAACACACAGAGACAGTCCAGGGAGCGGCAAATTATAAGCCCTTATTGACGCTGTTCAGTGAAGCTATGTGAACACAAATAAACCGCTGCAGACGTGACTGAATATGAATGCGTGGTGAATTTCTATTCCAAATATGATTATACGGATTTATTATTTTGCACTCCTGACATAAATTACTAAATTACTGTCACTGCAACAATGTTTTATCAAAACAGTGGTCAAATATCAAAGCTAGAGTCTTTAATCTTTCTACTGATGCACAGTTTGTCCAGATTAAGTAAGAGTGTGATGTTTTAACATGCTGTGAAAGTGAAACAACAATAATCTGAGGCCGTCGCCGATCTTTGACAGGGGTTAAAACAACTTAGACAGTTTGCAGTTACGGTCTTACATATAGCAGATGCCCTAAACATATGACATACTCAATACTGTAAGCTTGCACATCATTAAAAGACCTATTACGATATTATTGTAAACAATACATGTTGCACACCCCTACTTCCTTTGTATAATTATTGGCGCCAGAGCAACAATTCAGTTTCCCTTTCTTAGCACAGAACAGTTTAACTGAAGGAAGGAAGCCTTACCTATTTGATCCTCTGGGATAAGGGACTCAATTGGTGGGTCAAGCTCTGAGCTCTGCAGCAGGTAGGACTTCATCTGAGTCATGAACTGCCTGAGAGTCTGCAGCAGGTCTAAGCCTGATGTGTGGCAGCTGCAGTTCTCCTGCAGGAAGCTCACGTAGTCCTGCACCAGGCAGCCAAAGTAAGTCCCTTTATCCCTGGATTGCTCGACAATCTTCCGAATGGCTCTCTTCTCGGGTGTCATCAGAGAATTGAGAACGCCACTCATCTTGCGCAAATGTCCTCTCAGTGCACGCGGTAGCACAAACGTACCAGTGCCATTCTGCTTCTTTGACTTGAAGGGTGGTGGCACCTCCTGGTCGCTCTCCAAGTTGATTCCATCGTCTTCTTCCTCCTCCAGGCTGCTGTCACCAGTGGGCCGCTCGGTTCTGGAAGGACTGGTCTCCATGGGCAGTGAGAAGCTGTGGGTGAAGTCGAGGGAGTCTGAGGACGAGGTGGAGATGCTGATGTCACTCAGACGCTCTCGTCCGCTGGAGCAGCGCTCATCCGTGGGGCTACCGTTCTCCAGGGTGGTGGAGTTGCGTGAGGACAGCTTGGCCAGGCTCCAAGACACAGCTTCCTCAATGGTCTGGTCATCCAGGGCCATGTGGCAGCGGAGGCCATCGGCATCAAGCAGACCAGAGGAATTATTACTGCGGGATGAGGGCACCAGGATGGGTTTACTGAACTTTTTGGGTGGGGAGGATGAGGGCGATAAGGAACTGAAGGATGATCCCAACCTCCCCAGCAGGCTGCTCTTTTCCTGAGGCGTTTTGATCCAACAGACCGTCTCAGGCATGGTCTTCTGTTTGCGAAGAACTGCTGATCTGCCAGAGGCAAAGCGGGGAGGTGGGGGCCGAGGTGGTGGTGATCTCTTGCTATTGGATCTGCTCACACTTGCGTGTGATTTGTTTTGTGTGCTTTTTGCACGGCAAAAGACGCTGTCTTCCCCGTTCTGCCGATTTGTGTTTCCCGGGGATGATTCTTGCTTTTTAGGTGAAGGGTTGGTTTGGTGTGTCTGCAGGAACAGAGGATTGATGAAACACAGTGCTCCGTTGGATTGACTGCATTCAAGTTCAGAAGGGGTCCGAGTGAATGGGATGGCCGGAACTCTTGGGGATAACCACTGTTTCAGTCTTTGTTGTGAAATTTCACAAACAGTCTCCCCAGACACAGAAGACTTCCTCTTATTGCACAGTTCAGAGTTCCAGAAACCTGCATGAAGACAACACAATTAGGCTCCATTAATAAAAAACAAAAATTTTAAACGAATAAGGCATTTAACAATTAGACAGCTGAATCATACTTTTCATGCAATCACAGAAGAGTATTACAGAACAAACAAATAAAAGAGGAAGTCATTTCAGAGAATTCCAGATATCAAGTTAAAATTTCAAGCGATTGACAAAAAAGCTGAAGAACATCAATAGACACTCTAGATAATGTTTCTGAAAGGGTTATCCTACAAGTTCAAGCACTGGCATTCTGAACACATGGACACAATATAGTGGGCGCAAACACAAAACCACAAAATTCCATGACAGAAACTATGGAGAAAAAAAACCCATTTAAGTGAACAATTAACAAAATCCTGAAACAAATGAGACAAGAACAGGAGAATTAAACTTACGCTACTAATCATCAAGTCTTCTCTTCAGACTGCTTGTAAATAGTTGGAGCACAAAAGTTTACACGTCTACACTCCATGCAGCGACTCTTGCTGTCTGAGTTGTGAGTGGTAGAGTAGTGCTGATACCCATACAGTGAATGGTGTGAGTCATGTATGCTGATGAGGTGGTGGGAGGAGGACAGGCACTGGAGCTCTCGGTTCCTCCTCTTTTACTGCGCACTCATTCACACTAAACGCCACCCCTTCAAATGTTTTCTTCTGATGCAATACAAGAGAATGACTTTTCTTTGTTTTGGTTATGTGATCTCGCATTTTCAGAAAACTAATACTTTTTACTTTGATCATGTTCCAGTTTTTGGGAATCAACATGATAACTATAGAGATGAAATATAAAAGATATAACAATCAAACAGCAGGGAAAGCTGTCCCCCTCAAGAATAATGTGTGAATTAATTTACTAATAAATTGTAACATTTTTGGAATTAAATTTAGCATGTACAGGATAATGCATCATTATATATCATTATGCATCAATAATAATAATAATAATAATAAACTGGAATAAATCACACAAATGCTGATGTTCTGAAAAATATTGAAATAAAAAACATAACCATTCAATAAATGTGCTGAGATGGGATTCAGTGACATCTATGGTCAGGAGGAAAATTAACATGCCCTTTTTTCTACAGACACATGTATGTTGCCTTTGCAAAGACAAGGAAAATATTCACATTTATTCATTCAGCAGACTCATTAATCCAAAGTGAAATACTTAACTCAAGTGATTTATACTGAGGTGACAGTAACATAAAAAGTGCTGCAATACCAAACTGCAAAAATTGCCAAGAAAGCTACAACAGAAAAATAGGTGTGACAGGAAATCACTATAAAACTTTTTTTTTTTTTTTTCTTGATACGTTTCAGACATCTCTTAAATGATGGCATCTGAGATAAGAGCAGTTCTGCCGAAGTGACACCTGTGCAGGAGTGGAATAACTGGAAACCTGCACCTGTGTACTTTTCTTTTATTTACTTTGTCTCTTTTTTTCTTTCACTCTCTGTAAGCTAACTTAAAATGCTACATTATGTTATACAGACTTTGTCTCATCTGCTGTCATTCTCAACTCTTCTCTTGTCCTCAGTTCACCCCCAGTGTCCCAGTCATTATAGTCAGCCAATGAGCAGCTGGAATTTTGTCTTGGTGGAGTTTCTCTTGGAAATGATCCTAGTATGGAGGTACCACACCCATCACTGCTCTCAGCTTTACTCGGTACGGCCATTTTAGCATTCATTATTGCCTAACCGTATTATTACAGGTAGCATTCTTTAACAGAGAAGATCCTTTACCTGCCAAGACAGACTTTCTGTCTCACCTATCCCATTCAGACTGCCTGGTCTTCCTGAGGAAAATATGTTCCCTTCAGAGATTTCAAGTATGTAATTTCACAAAACTAAAAGATCATCCTTTTTCAAAGCTATTGTATTTCTCTTTAACAAAAAAATGCCCCTAAACAAGTCATTTACTCATTTCATATTCAGATTATATATGAAAAAAATCATGTTAAAATAAAATCTGAAGCTTTTTACCTCGTCAAACCATTCCACCATATGATTAAATAAAGCTACAGGGATAATTTTCTTTTGTAATGAATCTCATAATCTCTGCTGAAAAACAAAACCACACCAGTTTTGTGTTCAAGATTTCATCCGTCTCAGTACAGGAATGTTGTACATCACATAAGTCAAGTAAGGTGCAAAGTTACAACATGTAGTCTGAATCAGACACGGCACACAGGCAGATCTCTGTTTGATAGAGACATTTACTAGCATCAAACACATCTGTGGTCAATTTCACCTAATCAACGTCTCATCATGCGCATATGTCGGCCACATGAGCTGCTTGTTAAAAGCCACATGTGAAATGTTGTTGTGTGTTTGCTGGCACAGTAACACCTGTATAGTCAAAGCTCCAGACATATCTGACTTATGTTCTTCACAATATGCCAGATATTTTCACACTACAAAATCCAACATGTTCATCAGCATGTCTGCATACAACCTGTGGATCTCAGGCTTTAAGACTTAAAAACATTAAAGTTATTAGTTACACTAATAATTTAATAACTGTTAAACTGAATCTTAAGCAAATGTCAAAATGAAAATACATGACAGAAAACAGTATAGAATTTTAATATAATATCAAATTAATTGGTTATCGGCCAACATGAAAATAATTATCAATTTATCGTTATGGAATTTTAAGATGTGTATCCCCTCTCTCTCTCTCTCTCTCTCTCTCTCTATATGCTGTGCATTTTGTCTTAATGTTTTAGAGTTGGTGGTTACTTGTAAATGAAATGCCTAGCTAAATGCTTTAACCATGTAAAACTGCTGAATGCTCAACAACGACTAAACTTTGACACACTGACTACCATTATAACTCAGACCTGGCCAGTTGCATAAAAGGTTTAGACTAGTCTTAAAAGTTAGTCATCTAATTTTGTTCTTTAAGACTGGTCAACATTTTTTTAATTTGGTTACATAAAAACGTAGAGTAGTCTAAGCTGAATCCAAAATATAAGACTGATTACCCCTTGGTTAACTGCTAGTTGGTCAAACAACATCTGCATTAGGTTTCCAGTACACACACAATTGCACCCAGTCACACAGACATATAATAAACACATAAAATGCTGAGGGTCATTCGAGGAGTATTTATGCTGTCTGAGTAACGCTGAAACTCACAAGTCAGCAGTTAAGCTCAGTAAAACTCTGGAGAGCAAACATTCATGCATTGGGAAGAAAACTCACCTCTTCCTAACTGAGCCACCTCCTCCAGATCTTTAGGGGTCTTTGCAGCTGCGATGGCCTCAGGCAGCTTCAGTGTGAAGGGCAGAACGTCCCTAAAGAGGACAGATAAATGTTGAGAAGAGCTAAAAAAATATTACAAAAATGCTTCAAAAGACTGTTAGAGTGATGACAAATACTAAAAACTAAACAGCAAGAATATCCGGGCTGAGAGTTGTTGTGTGCACTCGTGGAGAGAATGAAAGAAAGAAGGAGTCAGAGAGACAGAGAGAGAGAGAAATCTGTTAATCAGAGCATGTGGGTGAGTTTGGCAGAGAGAGGGCTGTGTTTATCCACTGACTTTTCTGTGTGGCATTGACACAGACCCAGGCACAGGATGACACATGGATTTGTTACATCTTGCAAACCTCTTCATTACAGAACTATAGAACTACAGTACAGAGGTGAGCTCTAACTATGTAAACAGGTTAAGACAGACTAACTTTGACTACATTTTTTTTTCAAGCAAAAAGAGGCCACTCCAGTCACCCCTTCCTTCCTGCTATTATCTGTGTTGGTCTTCAACACTGGAATGCAGCTGAAACAGCATCATCTGATTTTACTTTACCACAAACATTTTGGTTTATTCTGAGAACAGATTTTCTTTAAGGTTATGGGTAAAATTTTTGTGCACCTTCCCCTTCCATTGGCAGGTCAAAAGATAGTCCCACCTCAAATTCACTCCATTGGTTGAGCTAATATTGTTGTTTTGGGCTGAGTCTGGGATCTATGCTTGTGTAATCATTGCTAGTTTGAGTCTAAAAAGCGATAAAGCAAGAATTCTTATAAATGATAAATATCTACACCAACAAAGCATAATGGTTACTGTACTCGCACTTTTATATATAAAATAGACCACTGAATGATCCTAGAAACTAAACAAGCTGTTTATGGTTTTCAGAGTGAGATCATTTTACCTGCTGATACAGCAGAACGCCACCAGTCGAAAGAGGTCTGCAAAGCTGATCCCTGAGCCCTCCAGGGAAAAAGCTGTAATAAAAGACACACACACACCACAGGAATAGCTATTGGAAAAACTGGAATGACCTAAGTCTCTCTCAAAGGGAAAAGTAAACAGAGCCAAATTTGTACATTTAAACATCCTTCACACAAGTCGCACAGGATCTGACCCACTTGCTGCATTTGCAGAAAGTGACAGACAAAGACAGAGAGAAAACCAGAGAGATGGGACTGAAGCAGAATGCAAGAACTGTGTTGATGGAGATAAAACAGTGAGAGAACTGATTTCATTTAAGTAGAATAACAGCATAGCACAATTGGAGCTTGATCCATACAAATGGATTTTAAGATTCATTAGGCTTCATTCATGAAACATAAGAAGAACTGGAAAAAAAAACATCAGTAAAAATGAATAGATTTATGAACAATTCTTATATTTCAAAAAAAGTTTTGTTTCCAACCAAATAATTTTTTCCATATTTGCTCTTTCAGATATTAAATATGTATACTGCCATTCAAAAGTTTGTGGTAGGAAACTCTTCTGTATATTCTATAATATTGCAGTTTAATATTGCAATTTAAATGAAGCTGTGCTGCTTAATAAGTTCGTGGAAGCCATGATACTTTTTTCAGGATTCACAATTTTGTAAAATTATAAATATCTGTAATGTCACGATTGATCAATTTAATACATCCTTGCTGAATATTAATTTATTTATTTAGTATTCATTTATAAAAAAAATAAATAAATTGACTGACCCCAAACTTTTGAACGGTAGTATATGCTGTGTATATCACACTACATATATATCATACTGATATTCAGTACCACAGCACACTTATGGCCCTGTATTATGAAATGTGTCTTTGACAGAATAACAAAAAGCATAAATTAAGCAAAAACATCAAACAAACAAACACAGTTTATTACTAGGTCAGCGTTTACTCTGATGAGATGCATGGTTGTTCCAAATAATTAAGACAGGAAATGGACAGGCAAAAAACAACCAAAAACTCCAGGCAGGAGGAAGTGAAAAAGTTGACGCAGATGCACATACTATTAGTGGTCTACTAATGGACTAATGGTCTACACTTAGTATATCACTTACTATATTGACTCTCTTTAACTGGGAAGTCCTGAACAATCAGTGTGTCACTGTCCATACGTAGGGAAATCACCTTTTTCTGCAGTTTATAACACCTCCTCACCACAAAACTCTAGATAGAACACAGACACACACACACATGAATGTGACTGACCGTGATAAAAAATAAATAACAAAAGAACCTATTGTTGTGAAGCAAGGAGGCTGTTGTCTTTACCCCTGCCGGCTGCGGCTGCAGAATGCGTCTGGCTTCCTCATCGCTGAGTGACAGTAGCAACCATACAGAGTGTGTCTGCATCAGTCTGTCCAGGATGCTCATGCGTCTGCGTAGAGAGTCATACCCAGAATCCCTCACTCCAGGTGCACCAGCGCAGGCAGAAGATTGAAGGAAAAGACCACTGACCTCTCCTTCCAGACTGCAGATATATACATAGAGAGAGGAACCTTTATTTCACAACAACGCAAGATCAAAACCACACTTGGTCTTGGATTAAAGCAGTGGTTGTCAAATGTTTTCAGGTGGCAGATCACTTTAACAGTAAAAGAAAAACTGCAGACCCCCTAACACCCTAAATCTGGGAGAATCCCAGACTACTACTATTAAGAGTAATATAGGGAAATATTCTTGCAATTTCAATGAACTGTTTTCTGTGTTAATATATTTTAAAATTTAATTTATTCCATTCTTCGGTGTCACATGATCCTTTAAAAATTCTCAAGTAGTGCTCAAGAAACATTTCTTATTATTGTCAATGTTAAAACAGTTTTACTGATTAATGTTTTTGTAGAAAATGTGATTCAGGATTATTTGATAAATAGATAGTTTAAAAGAACAGCATTCATTCGAAACAGAAATCTTTTGTAACATTATAAATGTCTTTACTGTCATTTTTGTTCAATTTAATGCATCCTTGCTGACTAAAAGTGTTCAAGTTTGCATACAATGATGTACAACTGTCAGTACCACTACTAAACTAATGTGAACTTATAAACCTGTTAATGTGAACCTGTTAATTCATTGATATGAGTTGTTTAATCAAATAATTAAATCCAATATTGCTGTTTTTTGTTCATTATCATTTTTATAATGGTCTATATTTTTAATCAGCCTAGTCAGAACTCTTTACAGCTTGACAGGAAGTAAGACCTCCTCCTACTTTCCAAACCCACACTGACCTATCAGTACTGTAAAAAACAAAAACTACTACACCTAAATTACAGAACTATTTCATTATACATCAAAAGGAGCCATAGTGACTGAAGGCTCACAGATTTTGCAAGAGTTATAAAAGTATGTTTATGAATGTTAGGAATGTTTGTCAATTGTAATATTCATATGCATGCATTATAAATGCAAGAATATCAAATGAGGAAAAAATATTAGAGATTGAAGCTTGTTTTGGTTAAGCTGTTTTCAAACTTCTGAAAGCTGATTGTGAAACACCTGAATTTATTGTTCCTTGCACTTCCTTTTAATTTCATGGAAATGCGGTATTGCAAAAGCATTGAATGCTTACGGCTCAAAAATAAGACATGCTCCACCTGCTGGAGAACATGGGAAGTACAATAACAAACACTGAGAATGAATCTTAAAGCTGATGCTTGTGATACAGAACACAGAATGACTACATAAATCTGGAGATATTTTTTTATTATTATTATAAAAACGCTTCTCCCATCCCAGTTTAATGCCAGATACAGCTATAACTCTATGACACTTCCAAAATATTGCTTAGTTTGCTTTATGAGCTTTGTAAAAATCGATGCGTTTCAGAAAGGCGGGGCATAGAGGAGAAACAATAATGTACAGTATGTGAAAAATAATGTGTTTTTTGAACCTTAAACCGCATAAACACATTTAATTACACCAAATACACAAAATAATGTTCTTTTTAGCAGCATCATATGACCCCTTTAAAACTTTATTTTCAGGTTTAAATTACATGTTCAATGTCATCTCACACCTTTGAATCCCACTTTACAAATGAGCACATATACAAAAGGAACACCATGTAATATAACCTATTAATGTCAGTGAAGAGGATGACAGTGATGAAGGAAGGACTCACCCCTGTAAGATCTCTGTCTCTGGCTCTCTGGCTGGCTGAACCATCTCCTGCTTTAGCTCTGAGATCTCCGTGGAGAACGTGTCAATCAGCTGTAGTCACACACACACACACACACACACACAAAACAAGCGTAAAGAGCAGGAAATCTCGAGATGTTCTGAATGTGTGCTGGTGTCATTGATGTTTTGTAAGAATGGGAAGTGGCTGTCTGGAATTAGTCATCGTGAAATTATTCCCAGTAAACCAGCAACTGCATCAGTTTCCTTTCAAAGGCTAACAGAGAGAACAATTCAGACAGAGACATCAAAGCACACTGTACGTTTCCTTTGATTATTCCTAGATGAAACACTGAACCACGGTCACTGTAAATTTAAATACACAATATTGAAAGAAAAAAATATTCTGTGTAAGGCAGGATACTCTTCATTGCTAATCTAACTGCTTAAATCAGACATGAAGCACAGTGATTTTATGTCATTAAAGGTAAGTGCACTTGAGAAAGTTGTTTTGTCATTGTATCTTTTCACAGATCTGAGTTTCTCTTGATGACCAGCAGGGGGCATGTTGTTGTTTTTTTCTTTCTCTATCCCTTTTTTATTTAATTTATTTTTGGTTTTCACTGCTTGAACTTCTTTCAGTCTGCAGAAATTCAGAGAGACAGTCAAGATTTCAGTGAAAGCTGGACCATAAACCAGACAAGTAAAGACCCGTCCACACTTTCGGTTGCACTTCTTTTTTTATCTGAGCCAGCATTTTCCGCTTATAGTCATGAGGTATTTCTCTAACTTCATCTCAGACTAAGTCAGCAAACCACAATTACACACCAACTCTTGGCTCTTTTTAAAATCCAGCTCACTGCCAAGAAAAGCAATCCATAAAACCTGAAAGGGCTTCAGTCACACCAAATCGCTGTAGATTATTGCTGAATGAGCTACACACTTGAAAGGTCAAGAATTATCAAACTAACATGAAATAAACTGGCTCACTGTAATGGCTGGATATGGCTCATTGTGCTTCATGTGAGAGTCAGACAAGAAATACCTCAAAACAATTTTAAGCTTATTAGACAAAATGCAAAAGTCAGTGTTAATATTTGCACTTGAAAATGCTCTGTTATTTATAAGTTTATGAGTTATTTATAAGTTTATGCATGCCTGTTTCTGAGTGTTTATATTTAGATGATAAATGTCTACCAAAACATACGACCATAAAATAATACATAAATAATATATGGTTTATTGTGTGTGCATGACATGTAGAGTACCGTTCAAGTTTGGGCTTGGTATTTATTTGGGTCTGAATACTTTCCGTACCCACTGTATATATATATATATTTTTTTTAGAAATTAATACTTTTATTCAGCAAGGATGCATTAAATTGATTTCACATTGTTGCAAAATATTTCTATTTCAAACAAATGTTGCTCTTTTCAGCTTTCTATTAATCAAAGAATGATGAAAAAATGTATCACACTTTCCAAATACTAAGCCGCACTACTGTTTTCAACACTAATAAGTAAAGAGGGTCCTTGAGCAACAAATGAGCATATTAGAATGATTTCTACATTTTAAAATATATTAATATAGAAAATACTTATATTAAATTGTAATATATTTACTGTTTTTACTGTATTTTAATCAACTAAACACAGCCTTTGTAAGCATAAGAGACTTTTAAAAAATCTTATACTGGCCATAAAATTTTGTTAAGAGTACTTATGTAATATTATTTATCATGTTATTTATGCATTTATTTCTTTAGTTAGTTAGTTATTTGAGATTTTTCCACCTGTGCAAAAATATAAAATTTTCACCAGATTATAGAGGTGCAGATAAAATGTGCTCTTCAAAAAATCTGTTCTTAATTTTATACAAAAAACGATCAATTTTGCCAGCAAGGGAATTTCCTCCAAATATATAAATGAGATTGTGTAATCCTAATAAACAGCACTGACAGAGAAAAACTCTGAGCTAATGTCGGCCAGAATGACGACAATAGAACTACCTATCATTTATGCTTAATAGAGCTAACAAACCCAATCCTGCTGAGACAGAAAGAGATCTGATCGAAAAATCATTCAGCTTGCGGTGCTGAATTCATCCAGAAGCAGAGAATGACTTCAGCTTTAGTGATGAGCCATTCAAAGAGGTGATGAAGCAGAATAAAAGGTGCATTTTCGCCGGCTGGACATTTGTTAGGAAATTCTGATGCCTGTGAGGTGCTGGCTGGTGTTCTGGAGACTGGCGAGATCAAGACCTCTTCCAAATGCTGCAGTCATCGGTGCCTCTCTTTAACCAGCCGTGAGGTAAAGTCATTCACAGCACACAAAGCAGCCAAGACTCTAGGAAACTATCTGCTGACATTTAACTAGTACGCTTGTTTCAGCCAAACACAGCCCTAACACTGAGAGCAGTGTTCGAAAAATAAACACTGCTAGACAGCAGCAGAGTTATTCAGTTAAAGGGACTGTTCACACAAAAAGCAACATTCTGTCATCATTTACTCACCCTCACACCATTCCAAAACCTCATCTGTATTCCGTGGAAATAAAAGTTTAAAGTTTACATTTTAAGGAACATCATGGCCACTCTTTTCCATATAATTAAAGTAAATGATATCATAATAGCAGTGGTTCTCAACAAGCCCCGCTCTGTCTGAGATAATATTTGAAGGCCCTCCTAACTGAGCTGATATGTACCTCTGGTATTTCTAACAAATAAACTCAAAAATATGATTTTGATTTAATTTTGTGCTTCTTAATTTTAGTGTTTGTTTAGTACTTTAATCTATATTAATTAAATAAAAATGGTCTAAATTTAAATGAAAAGTTTGCAAGCTGTTTATCAGCTAATATTACTGATTTTTTTTTTGTGTATCGTATAAACATTGGATATATATTATTCAATTTAATTGTGCATGTTAATGAACTCATAATTAGTTTTTTTACATTTAGTTTACCCCTGTCATCATCCGACACTCACTTAAAGGTCACATATTATACACCTTTCTGGAGTTTTATTTTAGGTTTTGATGTCCTTAAGAATATATATTTGCGGTATAAGTACCAAAAACCATCTAAATATATTTTTACAGCTCCTTTCTCAGGAGCTCTGCTTAGAACAGGTCGATTTTGGCCTGTCTAATTAATATTCATGAGCCTCTCTTCTGATTGGCCAGTTGTTTTCTGAGTGACGCACGGCCAGGCCAACCACAGGTAACTAGGGTCAGCCGACGTCACAGCGCTAGCTGGAGGAAGCAAAACAAAGGGGAAACTGGAGGCGGCCCATTCAAACCAGAGCAGATTCGGCTACATAAGGAGCTTAAAATATCATCTTATTGTGATGTTGGGTGCCA